GCGCGTAAACGCTAATGATTGCATACAGCTTATCAATCTTTTCTTTTGTAAGTTATTTAAAGCCAGAAAAGGTTTTTCGATTGTAAAAATGTTTTTGGAGATTAATGATTTATTTATACAAGTCCCATTAATTACCCATTAGGTTGTGGGGTGGGATATATGTGAATTCATACCTTTCCCGGCTTTATTTATTTATTTATTTTTGCGTAAAAAGTGAATATAGCGAACCCGACTCAAATTAGAATACGACTCTCTGCTTTTCAATTCCGAGCCGTTATGCATACACCACCCGCACTTTCAAGCTTACAGCACCTGGTATTCCCAGGCTCGACGTTGCTTAACTTCGGTGATCGTTCAAGAACCGGAGAAGCACCTGTAAGATATTTTTGGGATAACGATATATTTTTTATTATCAAGAACAGTTTTGGACGAAAGAAAACTTTTCCCACTTTGTCATATATCTTTCCTCCAAAATAATATAGCATATTAGATTAGAGTGGGGGCAGGCGTACAGTGGAATATTTTACAGGAGAAGGCCAGAAGGAATTTGGCCGGAAAATATCCAGCTTTTACTCTAAAAATGTACAATTTGCTAGACCTGGACTGTTCGCACGCATATATATATATATATATATATATATATATATATATATATATATATATATAGGATAGAAAACATTGCATGGTGAATGTCAGTTTCACGTTCAAGCGATCTACAAATAGCACGCACATATACACATTTAACTGGGCACAACATCGGTGAAGAAAAATATCTATAAAAATTACTGTCCTTAAATGTTTTAAAAATGCATCTTCAGTAAGATGGAAGATTGTGGAAGAGGAAAAATAGACTTCGACATCAATTCAAAAGTTGTTGCTAGTGGCATATTTGTAATTTGATGCGAGTTCAAGACATGTTTTTTGTGTTACAAAGCAAAGATCTAACCCTGCCTTCCCCTCTTCTTCCTGTGGCCCTGAAAACGATTTTATTTTTGTTTGTTTAGTTTTAATTTTTTTTAAGTTGACGCGAGTAGATGACAACTGAATAAACGACACCTAAAAGCAATATAAACACTTAGTTTTCAGTAGCACCAAACACTAACAACGAAATTTGTTTTTTAGTTTATTCACTGAAAAGTGGCTAAACGTGACGAAATGTTTTAAACAGCTATTTTTGTCAGAAGTATATTATGGTTAATAATTAAGGTACGTTAAAAAAAAAAAAAAAAAAAGGTTACTATTGCCCCAATAAAGTCCCATTTATTAATTTATATTTTCTGGTTACACGCCAAAAAAGTCAATAAACGCAGTTATACATCCTTAGGCCCCTGAAACCGCTCACCCAGCGCTACAACCATGTGCTAATGAAAATGTTTCAATAAAATATAAACCTATATATTTTCTATTATCAATATGTTTGTTACAAGAATAATATTTATTTATAGCGAATAAATTTATGTTTAGTTAGCATGTCTGTCAGGGTCTCGATTTCATTTCGGTAATGCTTTGTCACTTTGTTTATTTGTAAACATGACCTCTTTCTTCTGCATATTAATTATGAAAACCGAACGAAATAACAAGTGCGAGCGGCCATTTCCACTGTTGATTCAACGAACTGCCAATATTGTTCAATGTTATTTCTTTTTAACCGTCTTTGAGTGCTGACCAATCCAAACTTCACAAATTGGTCAGTTTTTGAAAGTTCTGATAAGTATTTTTCTTTTGTTTGTAACTTAGAGAGAGGGAGAGAAAGAGCTCAGATTCTGCAAACAATGAATATTCATTTAAGTGCGGATCTCAAGTTTGATAAGGTCAATTATTTTAAATAATTTCACTTTTTGCGCAGAACAAGTTTAGTTTACTTTAATGTTAAAAAGTGAAAATGTAATTTAGTAAAGTAAATTGTATGACATTTTAAAAAAAAAAATAGATTCACTTTTTTGTTCTTAATAAACTTGTTTTTTTGTATTAATTCAGTTTTAAATGTACGTCTAACACATTCTAGATTTTAATCGCTATTATTTTAAAAGCATGGTCAGCTTCACTGTTCTGTCCCATTTTTAACAAGGATTGTAAGAAAAAAATGACACATACCATATGGACTGACAAAAAAAAATAAACATTCAAAGTCAAACAAATTATTCATTGACTAACAACAACCAACTTTGGGGACTCTAGAAATAAAATTACTTATACAGCGTCTATATTCCCTTACGTAGTTAAATGTTAATACTTGAAGAATTATTTACCTGATATAAGTAACCTTTCTCTATCGTTCTGATTGTTAAATGAGACGAACAAAGTAAATTGGGGAGGGACACTTTTCAAAACAAGGAAGGGTTCATATATATATATATATATATATATATATATATATATATATGTATCAAGGGAGACTATCATATAAACTTCTTTGGAAGAGATACGTTGTGATTATTTTCAAATTGTTTATTTCTCAGCTCGGCAGAGCGGCTACCTCGAGATGTCAGTTGTCAAATCAAACAAAATGACTATTTATAAATATTGTGTTATTATCCAACTCTACAAACTCTTGTCTTTTCAGTTCTCCTTTTTACTACGGTTTTTTTTTGTCTTACCTAAAGATTTTATTTAGTAATTATTAATTAGTTATCTATTTTTTAAACGATTTTTTGTGTTAAAAACAGTCGTCGAAAAATGAATGGTCACTTTCATTGCGTAGTTCTTATCTTTATTTATTTCATTTTTCCTTTTTAATTTTGTGTATGGGGATTTCTAGAACACCCGAGAACAAAACGTGGCGGAGCGACTTGTAATTGTTTATGTAGCTGATAATATAGTAAAAAGAACAAACTTTTACGTTTTAAAAAGAAGACTAAGAGCTAGTAAGTAGTTAAAAATGTATTATTAGATCTGACGCAACATCGAAAGACCTTGATTTTTAAAAAAAATACTTCCTCTTTTCTTTGAAAAGTTTTTTAAACAATAAACATTCCAAAAGTTAAAGTGCATGAAGTTTTTGAATCAAGTTCAATTTTTATAAAATGCAAAAAATTATTTAGATAAAAAGAAAAAAAACCACCCTTAAAAAAATGGGCACTTTTTTTCTATTTTTTTTAAAAAAAAAAAAAGCGGGGGGAATATCTTTAGTTTTAACTTTTCCTTTTTAAGTTGATACATGGTTGTTTAAAGGAGAAAAACTGTCAAAATAAAACGGGACAAGAAAAGTTTTCACAAATTATCTGGAAAATCGCCTTTTTAAATGAAAGAGCACAAAAATAGGTGCGGAGGCAAATAAATAAAAATCCAATATAAATAAATATGACAAGTTAAAATTGACGCTGCTGATGTGTCCACTTAAATAGGCAATAAACTTGGCCGGTATTGTGTCTAACTTACCTCAGAGCAAAACAGTATTTATTTATCTATTTGAATGTCCTCTTTTTGTTTTAAATCCGTAGCTTAAATCACATATGCATTTTAACCTCTCTAAGCTACAGACATAAAGTACAAATCAGTGGCAGGTCCTTGTGTTTGCATTCTCTCTACTCCATGTTTATTCATTACATTACACAACCGAACCATAAACAAAAGCGTTTTTTACTTTTATGTTTCATTTAAATTTTAAGTTTAGGATAAGTGTTTGCCAATGCAAAAGTGTAAAAATGTTTAGAATTACAATTCTGTTTGACTAAGAAAGTTAGTAGCTTTATTCATGGTCACGAATTAATTCCTATTTGAACATTTTTACAATGTGTAGTTAAAAAAAAAAAAGCCCAGGAGAATGATTCAGTTGAATTTGATATTTGAAAGTTCAAATATTTGCAAAATAAATATGAACTATTTTCAACAAATCCCGATATAGCAAATAAGAATTCTACTCGTGTATGCTTTTTAAGATGAATTTAGGAGGGGGTCTTTTTAATTGTAAAGAAACAGCAGTAGAGCGAGATTTTTCAAAAAACCTGCGACTTCCCTCCAGTCGACGTCTTGCAGTATGTCGGAAAAACAAGGAAGATTGTTATTATTTCGGCCACAGTAATTGTTTTTAGCAATATTTTTAGAGATATGTTTATTAAATTGAAAGTCAATACAGATAAAAGGAGGGGCTAACAATTTATAAATAACAATATAGTTTTTGTAGCAGTTACTGTTTAAACCCGAAATAAATATGCAAGTCGTAGCAATTGAATAGCATCATTCATTCTTTCTTCTTATCTTTGTTCTTCGCAAGTTACGTTTGCAAATTATGCATCATCATACGTTTTTCAGATGTTATTTATTATTGTTTATTGTGGTTATTATGGATGGTTATTAATATTAACAGTACATTTATTTTTACCTTTAAATGTACTTCGAAAATTTTTAATTCTTTGTTTACATTTTCTCTCTTCCAACCTTCACACTTAGCCATCAATCAAAGTTTAAAAAAAAACAAAAGATGAAAATGCAGTTGTCAATTAAATATAAGAACCAATCAAAATGAGTCTTGAGGGCGTGTTTATAAAAGGATCCACCCACTTTGAGTTTAACAAAACTGAGTGTTCGGCGCCGTTTGATGCAGAGGGAACGTAGCGGGCGGGCAAGCAGTTAGACGTAACTGAGTCGTCGTGGCCGCCGTTTTCAGTTTCCTCCACTCCAACCACGACGACTGCTTCTACTCCTCCTCCTTTCATTGCCACTTCCTTCTTCTTCCTATGGAGTAGCTGTGGTGGCGGGTTTCTCTCTAGATTCTCGTCGCATTAATATAGTCTCTTCTATTTTTCTATGTAGCCCTCTTTTCTGCTTGCTGAGGAAAAAAAGTTCACGGCGACCCTACGATTTCACAAGGCAGCGTTGGTATATTTTTTTACGCACTACTGGATGTCTTCATCCTAAAAAAAAAAAAAAAACTACAAAGGGCTCAAATTTTGTTGCGGAAGCCCGCTTGGATTTTTTTATATTTACAAATATTTAAATTTAAGAAGAAAAAAAAACTTGAAGGAACGACTAACAAAACATTCCCCGTTCTACCTCTAGCAATGCCAGCCCACAAGCATAATCGTCACCACCGGACACGTGAAGATGAACACAACAATAATCTACTCGTAGAACAGCAGGATAACCACCACCAACAGCAGAATGGTGGGGTGATCGGCGGGGGTGGACAAGGACAGGGCCCTAACGACAACCAAACACCTAATAGCCTTGTTCGCTGTTGTGTGCCCACAGGCTGCAGCGATATTACTGAATTCATCGACCCTTCCGATCCGTGCGACTCTGTCAAAGTTGTGTGCAACAATGAAAACTGTGCAGTCGGTTCCTGGATGCATCGATTTTGTTTTGAAAGCTGGGAGCAAGGCGTGCTGGCCTACCTGCGGTCTTGTGGCCGGGCCCGCAGCTGGAGCGAAAAACAGCGACTTCAGAATCTGTGGACCAAGAAGGGTTACGACCTGGCCTTCAAGGCATGTGATTGTAAGTGCAGCCGGGGTCATCTGCGTAAAGACCTCGACTACATCCCTCCAACACAGAATGACAACGCTAACAGCACGAAGAAGGGTCGCAAAAACAAGAAAAAGAACGACAAACCGGTAGCCGTGATGACAAGCAAGGTTGGCATGAATCCTAACAACCACAATGGAAACAACCACGGCGGGACTAACAGTTGCAGTAATAATGGTGCCGGTCGGCCTCGGACAAGTAGTGTAAGTACTGGTTCCAGCCCTCCGAACTCTTATCTCTCCTGTTCTCCGGCAACTCCTGTTGGGTCTCCGTCATCAACGTCCAATTTGAATGCTCAGTCCCAGAAGAAAAATATTAAATGCGACAATGCAGTTGATCCGATGGGAACCGGCCAGAGCCTTCAAAATCAAACAGGTGCCACGAATGGTGTTAGTTTATTCAAACGCCGGAGCGATCTGTCTGCTTTTAAAAACCTTCCCCGTTACAAACAGAACCCGTATTACATCAAGATGGAGGATGAAGGGTCTCATGGCAACGACGACACTCGACTCTTTGTGTTATCCACTTTGAGTAGCCACAAGATGGGATCGTTACCATGTGTCCTATGTAAGTGTGAACTGCCTGTCTTCGATCGCTACCCGCTTATCGACGGAACCCTTTTCTTGTCACCCCAGAGTTACCTTCAGCAATCTGGGTCGGGTAAAGAAAATAACAGTAGCAACAACCATCTGGGAAGTGGCGACCACAAGCAAGTTCAAATTGATTTCGACGGTAAACTTCAGTACCTTAATGCCGTGTGTATTTGCTGTTTAGAAGGGAGAACCGATGTACGGTGTTCGTTTTGTAAGAAACGATGGGATGGCAGTACTTTGTTGCTGGGAACTATGTATTCGTACGATATATTTGCAGCCATGCCCTGTTGTCCGAAACGACTGACCTGCAAATATTGCCGAAGGGCTGTAGTAGATGTCACCGCGGGTCTTCCTTATTACAGCGAATACAGCCACAGAATACAATGCCCCTATTGTAAAGTTAAAGACTATCACTTCATAAGACCCCTATATGAAACGTTCTTCGTTAAAAACCCTATATGGAACGAAAAGGATAAGTAAATATTTTTTTGTCAAAACATTTTTATTATTAAAAAAATTCTTTCAACATCATTTATTTCATTACTGCTTGCTTTTACTTCCTACTACTTTTAAAAAGAAAAAAAAAGAGGATGTTTTCCTTTTTTAAAAAGGCATTTCCAATGTTTTCATGTTTCGGTTTGTAATAGCAATGATTCAATTTCAAAAAACCTCCAAAGAATTATAATGGTAAAAATGGTAGCTACAAAATGAAAATAGATTTTTAAAAATAAAATCTATTATTTACTAAATAAATAAATCAAGTTTTGCGTAAATTTTCTCTATCATTTAAAAAACCTATAAAAAAGTTTTAGGGTGGGGGACAATTTTTGGAAAACAAATTCATTGGAAAGTCAGTCGTTGACAAGTTTAGTTTTAAGAAATTTACTAATAATTTAACTACAACACTCATTATTTAAACTGTCGCATTTGGTAACCTTGTTTGTGTTTCTTGACAAACAAGGAACCAACCAGTGCATTTTTTTCTTTATTCAGAAAAAAAAATTCGTCCTTTTTAATGGCAGGTTCACAAACTGAAACATTTTTTTTTCCTCAAATTATCAAACTTGAGATTATAATTGGGAGTGCTTAAGGAAAATATCCAGTTGTAATTGTTAAAATATTTCACCTGAAACTTAAAACCCCTTCTTTGGGTCAGTTGACAGAAGAAAAAAAGGCATGTCAAATATTTTTAGATTTTGTTTTCTGATTTGAGCTCACCACTAAAAACATAATGGCAAACAAATGTTTTTTTTAGGAAAACAAAACAATTCTTTCCTATAAAATGAGTCTCACAACACTAGAATCTAGTGAGTAGATTGTTCTATTTTGTTATTTTTTTAGAAACTAGTTTAAGCCTTAAAGGTAATATTTTTAGACTTAAAAATAATCAACTAAAAATTAATGTATAAAAAAAAAAAAGCTTCAAACTTTTTAGTGTTTACTTAATTTTAGCAGACACGTGGCTAAAAATGAAAGGTTTTCTTGTGTTCAATATTTTTTGGGGGACGAGAAATGCAAATCAATGCTTTTTTTCTACAATGCATGTTTTACATTTTTTTTTTTTTTTGCTTTTTTTACGTTAATTTATTTTTATACATTTATTTGCTAGTTTAGCATTTAAATAAATACATTTTTAAAAACTACCGTTACAGTTTTGTTTGCTATTTTTATCTACTTTCATAAGGAAACGTTTTTTATTGACAACCTTTTTTTTTTTTTTTTTTTTTTTTTTTTATCAGAAAAATCAGTTTTCCCTCTGGCAATTTTTTTTTTTTTTTTTTTAATAAACATCCTAAAAATAAAACTTAAACCCGATTAGATGTGCTTTTAAGGTAGTTGGGGGGACATTTTTCGCCTTGCTTTCAAATTCACGCAAGTTTAAAATAGCATCTCTATTTAGAAAAAAAAACATTTCTAATTTCTGAAAATATAACACTTTATCGGAGCAGAAATTATTTAAATATTATTACTTTATTATTTAATGTAGATATTCTATTTTTGATTTTGTTTTTAAAAGGTTTTAATGGTCACGTGACCAAACAAATCTCTCTACGCATTAAAAAAGGGCTTGTTTTTTAAAGGGGGGGGATCTGGGGTTTGCATTAAGGCTATAGTTTTCTTTTTTATTTTATATTTTTAACTTTTCTAGTCTTTTCCAAAACTCTTATTTCATGCTCTTATGAACATTAACTGATTTTATCGAAACTTTTTAAGATATATTTACGTTACGAGGTGACACATCTGACAATGGTGCTAATCAATTCCACTTTTCTCTCTCTCTCTCTCTCTCTGTCTTTCTCTCTTGTGCTATTTTTTCCCGGTGATGAAATACTTTCTCTCTACTTTTTTATACTGGGTTTTATAAAAACAAACATTATTTACATGAGGTACTCTATGCTTCAACATCATAGTAGTTGCATAGATTTCCAGATGGTAAACAAAAGTGTCAACAACATAAAAAACTCATAGCTTAAGTATGATTTTTCCTTTGTTTTAGCTCGGATTTTAGTTAACTTAGAGTTTTTCTTAAATTATTTTTAAAACTTTAATTTTCCTTGTATCTAAAAAGAAATCCGACAAGATCTTATTGTTTATATTTTGGAAAATTCTTATAAAAAAAAATTAAAAAATGCTTTTTTCTTTGTTGCACTTAGGAAATTTACTAATGACTAAATTACTAATTAGATTTTTCTAAACGCCTAAATTAAATGCAAAGTTTTCTCGGTTTGCCGTGTTTTATTTTCAAAATCTTTCAGTTTTTACACTTAGAGAGAATGTTGTCTTTGCTTTTTTTTGTGTTGCTTTTTTTAGAAAATGTCAGTATTGCGTAGATTATTATTCACTTTTCATTTGAAAATGCATGTTAAAAACAAAACCAACCAGTTTGCTTTCCAGTTTGGTCTTTTTTTTTTATTTGACTTTATTTGTTGTACTTGTAAAAAGTATATCGTTGTCTAAAAATAAGGTTATCGTAAAATAGCAACTGTTTAAATGTTTATCTATTCTAACTCTACCATTTTTACACTTAGTCCTTAGAAATCAAGGAAATTTTGAAAACTAAAACGTCCTATCATAGAACTGATTCAGTTTTTTTTTTTTTCAATAAGGTTTGATTTGCTTTAAAAAGGTGGGTAAAGAAAAGATGCCCGTGTTGCATAAAAAAGATGTGCTAATTATTTAATTAATGACTTGTGTGGCAATACAGTCATAAAATATATTTTTCTGACTGTAGTCATAGCAATCATCTCGAAAAACGATAATGATAATTTTTTAAATACATTGATCACATGCTTCTTTTCACCTGGCTCGTTGTATTCTTCTATTTAAAAAGAAAATTAAATTTGAACACTTGTCTTCGAAACCCGTAAAACATTTTTATTTTAGAGAACAAAGAACACTTAAATGGCAATTTCATTTTCTCTCTGACATCTTTAGGAAAAGTCAATTTCACGTTTTTGATGTAATGAAGAGAAATACCCATGGGTCCTCCCTTTTTATTTCTTCTAAATCTATATTTTATTAAAATTAAGTAAATCGATCAGATAATAATTGTCTTATTTTTCTATTTAGTGATTTTTGCTTTTTAGTAATTGAAAAAAAAAAAAAAAATCGGGTACGTTTGGGTGAAAAATGAACAATAATTTTGTTTTTTGTGTTGCTACGGTCCCAAATTTCGTTGATTTTTATTTTTCCCCACATGAGCAATGGAGAGGGCCGAGGATTTTGCTGAGACAGAAAAAAAACGCACAACTCTTGTTTACCAACAACAACAACTACCAAAGAAGAATTCAGAACAATGTTTGACAATCCCGAGTGAAATTTACGATACCGGTGATTTTTAAATATAAAAAAAATATATCATGAATCCTTTTTTAAAAGGCAGCATTTTATTCCATTTTTGTATATATTTTTCCTTTCATGCAAAAAAAAAAAAAATCTAAATAAAAACAAACTCGCGCACCCAATTTCTTACTCTTTATTCAATTTTCTGGTACTAAAAAAAAACGTTTTGTACATCAGGAATAAAAAAAAAAAGAAAAAATGATTTAAGCAACAACAAAAAATATGAGATAGAAATTTAAGCTTTCTGTGTTATTCTGCAATAATGCTAATGAGGAAAAAAACAGCCTCGTGTTTTCAAAAGGCTTCCATGTCAAATAAAAGAAAAATCAACACCTTTTTCGTATTCAATTCTGGCTTTTACTTTTTTTTTTTTTTTTTTTTTTTTTAAAATACCTGAAATGTCTGTGTGTGTGTATATATATATATATATATATATATATATATATATATATAATTTTTAAGCTATTTAAAAATCTTGCCATGTGAACAGCAACCAAAATATCAGAGCCACAAAAAGGCCTTGGCCTCTTCAGTTCTTCTTGCTGCTGCTGCTTTTTTCCTTGTGTTGTCAGTTTCCGAAAATAGGACACGAGAGATGATGATGTCAGATTTTTCAATCAGTTCACTCCTCGCACTGTTCAACCCTCATTATTAATATATGCTCATAATTTAGAATAAATTCTGAATTGTTTACAGTTTTCGATAGTTGATTTTTTAACGCGTTTCACATTACGAAAACACTGCATTAGATTTTGAAACTTGAATCAAACTCAAAATCTTTTTGCAAGGATTTTAAAAGCAAAACACCACAGACAATGAAAGCGCCAGTTCGAAAACAATTGCTTCCAAAAAAATGTTTTGTCTGTAAACAGTAAACACTAATTTACACGGCATATCATCTTATGACATTTTTTTGTTTTTTATTCAACCTATATTAATAAATTAACATTTTTCCCATTGTAAAAAAAAAAAAAAACTTAAAAATCGTGAAAATTTAAAGTTTGAAAATAAGGCAATCTGCAATATGGTAAAAAAAATCTCACTTTTTTTTTTTTTAATCGTCACGTAAAAAATATCCAACTGTTTTTTCCACCATTGTTCGTTTTCTTCTTTCAGTTTTTTAAATAATTTTTTTAAATGTTCATTCATCAGATTTAATTAGATCTAAAAAAAAGTTTTACTTTTTTACCAGCTTCCAGAAACTAAAACAAAATTCTTTTCCATCCGCTTCTTAAAACTCTTTTTTAGTTTTATTTCTTACTTTTTTTTACGTTTTACTTGTAAATGTACTCCAACTCCTATGACCAAATTGCAATCAAAGTTCAATATTGGATTTTAAAAAATACCAATGCTTACTTTTAGTTTTTAAGTCGTAAAAGTTGTACAAAAACTTAGACTATATTTTTATACTCCCTTCTAGTAATTTACACAATTATTAAACATTGTTTATTTTTAAAATATATTTTATCCCAGCTTCTGAATTTGGCTTATGAAATTGAGTTTTACAATGTATTCCAAGGCCCTTGAAAAGAAAGTAGTATAGATAAACAAGATTATTAAGTAACATTTTTTTTATTAATGTTATTAAAATCTGGTTACAAATCTGTTAATTACAGGCTTATAAACCTAAAAGTGTG